GCAGCAAGCACCTTTACTGACTGAACCATCTTGCAGGCCCCAGACTCTAGGATTCTGAAGATGCCAGGACGAAAGGATGTCTGTCGAAGAAAGCTGCAAAGAGTGATCTGGGCCAAGAGAGAAGGTACACATGCTCAAGTGGCGGGGGGGGACGACTGCTCAGACCACTGGGACCCAGACGACGTGCCCAAGGGCCCCAGGCCCTGAGCGTGGCGCTGCAGGCTTTCTGTCTTGCTTTGGTCTGATCTGTCCTCGCTGTACCTGTTCCTACTGGAACTACAATGCTTAGTCCTCTGTGTCTTTGACTATTGAAAGTCTGTAACTTTGTTCACAATTAGAAGAGTGCCTGATCCTTAGTAGAGACTCTGTACTTTAGCTTTTGAAGTGTTAGAACTGTTTAGACTTTAAGGGACCGGCAAGATAGTTCAGTGTGTTAAGGCACCTGCTGCCAAAACTGATGACCTGAGTTTGATCCCTAGGAGCCACGTTGGTATAAGGAGAGAACCAATTCCCCAAAGTTGTCCTCTGACCGCCATACATTTCACTGTGGCGTGTGCACCTACAGCCACACCAATTAAATAAATAAATCATAAATCATAAGAAAAAAGACCTCAAGGACTCTTAGAGATGGATCAAATTCATCTTGCTTAGAGCCAGTCATCTTTAAGGACCAGGGGTATGATTTAGTCTTAGTGATGGTTAATCTTAATTATCACCTGCCTGGATTTGGGATCTCCTGGAAGACACCCTCTGGGCAGTCTCTGAGGGCATTTTCAGACAGGTTTATTGAGGGAAGACCCACCCTGAAGAGGGCTGAAGGGGTGTGTGTGTGTGTGTGTATGAGAGAGAGAGAGAGAGAGAGAGAGAGAGAGAGAGAGAGAGACCACACTATGGAATGAGGTCCTAGAATGAATTTTTTGTTTATATTTTATTTATTATTTTTATTTTACGTGTATGCATGTATTGCCTGCATGTATGTTGTGAGTGCACCCGTGTCGTGCAATGCCCACGGAGAACAGAAGAGGCTGTTGGATCCCCTGGAACTGGATACATTGACAGTTGTGAGCTGCCATGGGGTGCTGGGATTCAAACCCAGGTCTTCTGCAAGAACAGCCAGTGTTCTTAACCACTGAGCCATCTTTCCAGCCCCAACATCTGCTTTCTTTCTGCATTGGTTAAGCAGATGATTCACAGAGAAGTGGTGTTTTCTTTTTTTATTTTTATTTTATGTGTATGTTAGGCCTGCATGAGCACACGTGTTGGGATAAGTCAGGAGTGCTTAGAATGTAGAGCATGGCCACCTGCCAGAGACCTCCCAGTGAGGATGGCAGGAGCCAGGCCCACTCCATTCTAAACACACTGTCTCTTACCCAACAGCCCCCAGGCAAAACTATTAGGTCTCTAATCCCTTAACCCTAACTGGCTCTTTGTAGATCATGTGACCAGACGACAGGACATAGGCCTTGTAGCCTTAGAAGTCCCCTCCCTCCCCCTACCTGCCTGCCCACCAAAAACCCAACCCTGCTTCTTTGCTTGTGAAACTTTCCTATATAAACCTCTGCCTCAGACATAATAAATGAGCTGTCCACTGACACAGTCTCCCGGGTGTTTCTTCCTGTGGTACTCGCCGCTGCCTGAGGCCCCTCTACCCCCATGGGTCTCTCTCCTCACCCAGACCCTCCGTGATGGGGACCGGGTGCGCAGCGATCTCCCGGTAGCAGTGGAGTTTGGGCCAAGGGATAGAAGAGTCTGTCAGATCCCCTAGAACTGGAGTTACGCACAGTTGTTAGCTGCCATGTGGGTGCTGGGATTTGAACCCAGGTCTTCTACAAGAACAGCAGTGTTTTTAACTACTGAGTCATCTCTTCAGCCCACTATTTTTCAAGGGCTCTCTTTTGGCGCTAATAGCATTGTTCATCAGTTAAATGTGAATGACTGGAGAATCCTAAATTAGCAATCCTCAGCACATTAATAGATGCAAGGAAAAAGAGTATATGGTTTGTGTACATGATGGAATATTATGCAGCCATAAAGAAAAGGAGATGGTCACTTGGAACAAAATGGAACTGGAAGACATTATGTTAACTAAGAAAAGCCAGACAGAAAGGCAAACAGCTCATGTCCTCTTTTATATGTGGAGGTGAAGAAGTAGTGACCTGGATTACAATAGTGATGACTAGTTTAGGAACCAGAGGGTGGATAAAGAAAGGCGGAATGGATTAATGCACGCTGCATACATGTGCTGAAATAGTTCACTGAACCCCATTAAATGTACAATTAATATATGTTAATGAAAAAGTAAAATTTAAAATCTAAAAAGAGCTGTTGCTGCCCAATGCTGAGCATACGGTTTAAAATTACAGTTAAAAAAGTTTTTTTTGGTCTTTTTGAGACAGGGTTTCCCTGTAGCCCCAGCTGACCTGGAACTCACTATGTAGACCAGGCTGGCCTTGAACTCAGAGATCTGCCTGCCTCTGCCTCCTGAGTGCTGGGGCTAAAGGCGTGTGCCACCACCCTGGCAAAATTTATTATTTTATGAGTCAGGCAAGGTTCTCTGACTCCAGGAAAGAAAAGCAACCAAGCTCATAGAATCCACATTGGTCTGTGTTAGTCAGTGAGAGGTGACTACCGACCAGCGGGAGTCTGCAGCAGCCACCAGGGCCAAGCAGCAGGGAATCATAAGCACTTTGTGCCATGAGGGTTGGGTGTGTATTCGTCACTTTCCTGTTGCCGTGATAGAAACACCGACCAAAGCAATTTACAGAAGGAAGTTTATTTGAGCTTACGGTTCCAGGGGAATTACAGTCCATCATGGCAGGGAAGCATGACCACAGAGGTGGGTGGAGGAGGAGCAGAAGCTAAGCTCTACATCTTCCAGCAGGCACAGGAAACGAGAGCCACAGGAGATCCGACAAGGCTTAAGAACTCCCTAAGCCCACCCTCAGTGATGTGCTTCCTCCAGGATAGCTAAGACCTTCTAAGGTCTTCTAAGACCTCCCAAAACAGTGCCACCATCTGGGGACAAAATGTCCAAATACTTGGAGCCTATGGGGGACATTTTCATTCAAACCAGCACAGGTACAGACTTCAAAGCCTGTATTCTTTCCTGAAGATAAGGGTCTCATCTCAGGAGAGCTTGCTGGAGTCCTGGACAGGCTTGTTTGCAAATATGGTTTGGGAATTAATGAAGGTCTGCCTTCAAGGTGGGTTCAGGGATGGAACGGAGGGTCATTAGACTTATGTGACAAGTGCCTGCACCCAGTGAGCCATTTCATCAGCCCCTAAAATATTTTTAAAATGAACTTGATGCTAACAGTTTCAGAGCTGCCAAAGCTTGCACTTGAATCTTAGGCTGGGAAACAACTGAATGACATGGTTCAAAAGTCTCATTTTTGAAGGTGAAGGCACGGCTCATTATCATGGAGGGGCTGAGGATATGGCTCAGTCTTCCTATAATCCCCCAGTGAGGGGCTGGGGGTGTGGCTCAGGGGTACAGCCTCTGCCTAGCCTGTGGAAGGCCCTCTGTTCCCCCTCCAGCATCGAAATACAAACCTCTTGTTTTCTATTGCTGTTTTTTCTGAACTGTCTGGAACCCCATAGGGTGAGGAAAGACTCTCACCTCAAAGGTCTGATTACAGCAAAGCAAGGAAAAAGCGAGATTTTAAAACTACATGAGCAAAGCACAAAGACTCACTGACGTTAAATGGAAACTTCGTTGCATTTGCACGGACAGCGGTCTGAGAGCAAAGCAGGGAGATTCTGTAGTCCTTGCTGTTTCTAAGACCTCTGCTTTTCAAGATTAGCAAAAGCATCTTAGATGGGTGTGGCTGCCCACACCTGCCAGCCCAGTACTTGGGAGGTGGATCAGAAGCATCAGGAGTCCAAGGTCATCCTTGGCTACAATGTGAGTTTGATGCTTGTTTGGGCTACTTGAGACCCTGTCTCCAAAAACCAAAACTAAAAAAAGGAAATAAAGAAGGAAAAAGAGAAAAGAAAAAAAAAAGCATCTTGTTCTTACAGCTGGTTTGGAAGGGTGATGACATGCTGATTTCCTCTCCCATTTTCATGTGTGTGTGTGTGTGTGTGTGTGTGTGTGTGTGTGTGCACACGCGTGCGCATGTGTGGTGTGCACGTGTATGCACTTACACTTTGAGACAGGATCTCTCAATCAAACCCAGATCTCACTGATATGGTTAGTCTCCCTGGGATCCAGTGTCCTAGTTACCCCTGTCAAGTTGACACAGTCTTCAGTCATCTGAGAAGTGAGTCTCAGCTTAGGGATTTCCTGGTCAAACTAGCTTGTAGACATGTCTATTGAGGATTGTCTTGATTGTTATTTGATGTGGGGTCCAGCCTGATGTGGACAGCACCACTCTCTGCACAGGTGGTCTTGGGCTGTAGAAGAACGTTAGCTTAATGCAAACCTGAGTGAGCCAGCCAGCAGCACCCTCCATGGCTCCTGGTATACCTCCTGGCTGTGGGTGAGGCCCTGGTCAGAGGCACTGCTGTGTGGAACAGCAAGCAGGCCCACCTTCAGGTTCTTGCCCTGACTTCCCTCAGCGATGGGCTGTGACCTGGAAGTGTAAGCCAAATAACCCTTTCCTCTCCTAAGTTGCTTTTGAGTGGAGTGTTTGATCACAGGAACAGAAAGAAAACTAGACCATCTTGTCTCTACCTTCTGAGGATGGAATTACAGGGGGCCTGCCCTGCCCACCTGGCATTTATGTGGGTTCTGGGAATGTGTAGCAACTGCCTCAACCACCTAAGCCTCTTCCCAGCCCCTATGTTGATTTTTTTCACAGAATTTGAATCATGCAGTCAGCTCATGACCTATAGGTAGACAAACTAAATTTACCCATGTGAGCCAGTTGCCAACTTTTAAAACTGGGAAGAGTTTGTGTGGTGGCACACGCCTCTAAACCCAGCACTCGGGAGGCAGAGGCAGGCGGATCTCTGTGAGTTCAAGGCCAGTCTGGTCTACAAGGTGAGTTCCAGGACAGCTGGGGCTACAGGGAGACACTGTCTCAAAAAGACCAAAAAACAAAAACAAACTGGGCAGAGTTTGTATGACAGCCCAGACTTCCAGCCTCATACATCAGAAAAGGAAGTCTTGCTGACCCAGGGCTTTCCAGACTGGATTTGGTATGGCTGCAGGGTGCTCACTGCTACTCAGGCTGTGACAAGGGCCCACCACATTCTCAGTCTGTGTCACTCTCTGCTGCACAGCAGATGCAAGAAACTCATCCTGGTCACTCATTGGTCCCTGTGAGCACCCACTGTCCCTCCTGTACCTTCCGTCATTCTGTGTGTCCAGGGCTAGGGGAGGAAGGGTGGATCCCTTATCTAACCTCAGCCCCCAGGGTTCAGTGTTAGATCAGACCAGCCAATCTGCAACACTCTGCAGGAGCCAGTGTTTCTGACCTGAGGTGGGGCAGATCTGAAAATGGAACCAAAAAGAAGGCAAAAAACTGGCAGGATAGAAAGAGGAAGCCTTGGGTCCATATGGCCACTGGCAGAGACAGTCTGTTCAGCCAGATGAGAGGAGGTTAGCCCACTGCAGTCCTGACCTCTCTGGGCCTTCACACAATCAGGCAGACCTGTGAGCGTTTATTTGATTCTGACTCTTTTCCCTGAGCAGCCTCTGACCCTGAGTGTGGGCAGGCTTCTGTGGCGGCAGCCAGCCCTTCTCTCTGCCTGGTCTTCACCAGCCACACAGCCTTCTTGAAGTTCTTGAGAGGGTCCTGCTGGGAGCCTCTGGCAGAGGGCCACTGGAAGCGTTCCCGGATGAGATAGCCGTGGCTTGTGGGGGCCATGAAGCCATTGGAGGTGGGGATGATTCTGTTCACCATGGCGTGGACAAATTGAACAGCCAGAAGGGTGCCTGTGGTGGGGAGGGCAGGTCATAGTAAGAAAACTGGGGTACAGGGGCTAGGGAGTTCAGTTGATAAAGTGCTTGGCCCACAAACAGGAGGACCCGAGTTCGATACCTAGCAGCACCCACATAAAATGCTGGGTATGGTGATGCACACGTCACACCAGCACTGGAGAGAGAGTGACAGGTGGACCCTTGGGGCCCCTTGTTCTGCAGCTTTGCCTAATCAGTCAGCCCCAGGACCCAGTGAAAGAGCTTGTCTCAAAAACCAAGGAAGGGGCTGGAGAGATGGCTCAGCAGTGAAGAGCACCTGCTCTTGCAGAGGACCAGAATTCGATTCCCACGACTTCTATCAGGCTGCCCATAACCACCTGTAACTCCATCTCCAGAGAATCCAGGGCCCTCTTCTGGGCTCCATCGGCACCTGCACTCACATGCATATAACCCCACATAAATACATAGTTAAAAATAAAATTAAAAATACAAAACAAAACAAGGTAGATAGCTCCTGAAGAGCAGTAGCCTAGACTGATCTCTGACCTCTACACACGTGTGCACACATGCATGTACCCCCCACATAAACAGAAGAAAACTGGGGAACTGGAGAAGTGGCTCAGCAGATAGAGTGTGTACTGTTCTCCCAGAGGACCTGAGTTCAATTCCTAGCACCGACCTGATAGCTCAAAACTGCCTCTAAGTCCATCTCCAGGGAATCCAATGCCCTTACTTGACCTCTGTGGACACCTGCATGCATGTGCACATACCTATATGCAGACAAACACTCATAAACATAAATTTTTTTTAAATCTTTAAAAAGAACTGTTGGGCACTTACCTTTAATCCCAGCACCCAGGAAGCAGAGACAGGCAGATCTCTGTGGCTCCCAATAGGGGCCAGCCTGGTCTACATAGGGAGTTCCAGGACAGCTGGGGATATAGGAAGACCCTGTCTCAAAAAAGAGAACTATTTCAGGTGCAGAGGCCTGATTCTCCACATTTTAGAGTTGGCTGCACGAAGGTCAAATTCCTGATGGGACATCTAACAGCTCAGTCTCCTTGCTTCTCTGAGTGTGGGATGGCAACAGAACATGCCACTGAAGATTTAAAGACATGGGTGCTTAGAGTGGGCCTTTGGTCTAGAGGGAGATTGGTAAAAGTTATTGTTAGAGAAGAGACAGAAAGAGAAAGAGGACGGGGGCTATGAAGTCAGGATGGGCTCTTTACAACAGTCAGATGTCAATCTCTCAGGGGTCTGTAAGTCCACAGCGTGTTTGTTCACAGTGCAGTTCTTAGAGCAGAGTGTCAGACCACAGCATATCAAGTCACAGGCCCATAGGTCATAGCCCCACAGGGCACGGTGTGTCAGGTCACAGTCCCACAGGTCACTGTGTGTTAGGCCACAGCATGTCAGGTCACAGCCCCATAGGTCATAGCCCCACAGGGCATGGTGTGTCAGGTCACAGTCCCACAGGTCACTGTGTGTTAGGCCACAGCATGTCAGGTCACAGCCCCATAGGTCATAGCCCCACAGGCCATAGTGTGTCAGCTCATAACCCCACAAGTCATAGTCCCACAGGTCACAGTGTGTCAAGCCACAGAGTGTCAGGTGATGTCATGTCAGGTCACAGTGCTTCAGATCAAGGCATGCCAGGTCAAGGAGTGTCAGGTCACAGTGGCTGAAATGAAGTACACACCAGGTCATGGTTACCTGACTGATTGAGCCACTAACTTGGTTTGTGAGCCCTGTCCTCCCTTTCCTGATGCTGTGATAAAACCCCCCTGACAAAAGGAACTTTGGGGAGAAAGGGTTTATTCTGACTGACAGTTACAGTCCATTATAGTGCGGAAGTAAAGGCAGAAACTTGAAGCAGCCAGTCCCATCCGCAGTGAAGAGCCAAGACAGTGCATGTCAGTGCTCAGCTCACATCTCTACTCTTTTACAGTCCAGGACCCAAACTCGGGGAATGGTGCTGCCCACGGAGGGTGGGTCTTCCCATCTCAGTTAACATAATCAAGACCATGGCTATAAGATGGCCATAGGCCAACCTGATCTAGGCAGTCCCTCATGTAGACTTTCTTCCTAGGGGATTCTAGTCTGTCAAGTCAACAGGACTAACCATCAACAAGAACACCTCGAGGGTGGTGGCAGCACCCGTCCTCCTGCTGCTGTGACAGTTCAGAGACAGTGTGTGATCAGAGCCTTATCTACACAGGGGATAACGGGAGAAAATGACAGAAGAGCTTGGAGTTGGGCAGACCAGTGTCCCACTACAGCCTGCCAGTTACCCACCGTGTGGCCTTGGGCAAGTCCCCTGCCTCTCAAGGGCCTTAGGTTGTTTGTGTTGTTTTGTTTTTTCCGTTTACTTATTTATTTTGAGAGTGTACAGGGAGTGTGTGCCATGCAAATGTGTGGAGGTCAGAAGGCAGCTTTTAGGAGTGAGTTCTCTCCTCCTTCTGTGTGGGTTCTGGGGATTGAACTCAGGTCGTCCAGTTTGGCAGCAAGTGTCTTTATCCACTGAGCCCTCTAGCCAGCCCCCTGAACCTCAATTTTTGCTTTGTAAAATGAGGGTGACTATGGGAGAACTAAGCAACTGAAGTGTGATCCCCAGTACATGATAAACGTTTTGTCTGTGATACCGAGAATCAAATCCAGGCCCTGTAGATGCTAGGAAAGTGCTTTGCCACAGAGCTACACCACTAGCAGTAATAAATGGTCACTCTTTTTAATATGACCTTACTGTGATTAGCAGTGCACCAACACTCCTGGGATTTCAGTAACTAGTGTTTTTTTAAGATTTTATTTTTTAAGTACATTTTTAAATAGTTTTAAAAAATAT